TTGCTTGCACTTCTAGAACTACGTGAAATAATAATGAGGAAAGGAGGCATCCTTGATTTACTCTCATGTTTACTGAGAAAACCTGTCATTCTACACAGAATTTTTAAATGTAGATTTTCACTGATGCTTTTTGTCTTTACATAATAGTTATGCAGCCCTCTAACTTCCAAGTGAATATCTCCCTATTACAGCAACATAATGACACAAAAATATCTGATAAAGTGAACACATTTGGCAATGCATACAACATTTTGTCCAAGTCAGTCCAGTATCAATCAATTAGTTTTTGCCATGAGGCAAAAACATGAGCCACTGGTTTTGTTTGTTTGTTTGTTTTTGTTCTTCATAAACTTCATTTATGTTTTAACTTTTCAATGATCAAATTCCTTTTAGTAACCTTTTAAACTTTACATTGTTGCATTAATTATATGCATAGTTTCCTAATTCTTATTTCACTATCAATTGATATAAATCTATTTCTCTGAATTTCTTGTATTTATTTCTTTCTGCAAGATATTCCTATATTGATACACTCTATTTTTCTACCATTTCCCAGTTGATGTGCACCTACTTTGTTCATAATCCACAAAGAATGCTGCTATGAATATGTTAGTACTACGTGGGACCTTTATTTCTGTCATTGAGTCCTTTTGGAAGTATATTCCAAGGAATTGCATTGATATGACAATAAATATAGAACACTGAATCACTTTTTTTCCTTTTTCCCTTTTACGATTTTACTGGATATTTTCCCTGCCTCTATGATATACAGCAAATTCCTTAAGATATATATACCTGGATGAGTATAAAGGTCTGTAGTCTGGGGCCAAGAATATAAATCACAGCAACAGGTATGACTTCCCAAGCTTATTAGCTGGGGGGAAAGTTTTGGTATTCAGCAAGAATTCTGCTAGACATGTCAAGTCAATCATGTAGAACACGGGCTCAGTAACCAATGATATATATTTCCAATCTAATCTTAAAGAATGAGTAGGTTAAAGAACAAATCATAGAAACAATCAATAATTTTATTAGAGAGAATGACAATAATAAGACAACACATCAAAACCGATGGGATACAGGAAAAGCAGTGATCAGAGGAAATTTTATATCTCTAAATGCTTACATCAATAAAACAATGAAAGAGCAGACCAATGAACTGGCTATACAATTAAAAAAAAACTAGAAGAAAAACAAACTAAAAATCCCCAATTAAAGACTAAATTTGATACCCTAAAAATTAAAGGTAAGACTAATAAAACTATTAAAACCTTTAGAATTAACAAATAAAATGAAGAGCTGGTTATATGAGGAAAAAATAATAAAATAGATAAACTATTAGTTATTTTGATTAAAAAAAAGAGATGAAAACCAAATCACTAATATTAAAAATGAAAAGGGTGAAATATACTACTAGTAAAGATGAAATTAAAGCAATTCTAAGGAATTATTTTGCCCAATCATATGCCAATAAATTTAACAATTTGAATGAAATGGAAGAATATTACAAAAAGTATAGATTATCTAGATTAGCAGAAGAGGAAATAGAATATCTAAATAGACCTATTTTAGACAAAGAAATAAACAAGTCATAAATGAGCTTCCTAAAAAAGAGAAAAAGTGCCAGGACCAGATGGATTTACAAGTGAATTCTATCAAACGTTTAAAGATCAAAGAATTTCAATATTAAATAACTTATTTGGAATGACAGGCAAAGAAGGGATCCTACCAAACTCTTTTTTTAATGAAACAAATATGATATTGATACCTTAACTAGGAACAGTTAAAACAGAGAAAGAAAATTATAATTCCATTAATAAATATGGGTGCAAAAATCCTAAATTAAATACTAGGTAAAGGATTACAGCAACATATTACAAAGAATATACCTTATGAACAAGTGGGAGCTATGATTTGTTACATTTCCAGACTGAGATGGTTCACCCCTCTTTAGACAACCTGGTGATCTCCCCCCACTCCCTGGTGTTCAAGGTATCAGTGTCACACTTTAAAGATAGCTTAAACCACTGCTCAAAACCCCTAAACTGAAATGATCTGTCAATCTCAGTCTCTTTGGTAGCTAGAATTATTGGTACATACTATCATGACTAGTATCTTCCTTTGTTTTTTATTTAAAAAAAACATTATATTTCTATTTATTCATACACATATATATAAATTCATATGTACATATGTGTGCATATATACATATATGTATGTATAATATGTATGTTTTCTGGTAAGTTAACTCTCATATTTCTACATTTCATATTTATTTTGAATGGAATTTCTGTGTCATTTTTTCTGGTTTTCATTAATAGTAAATACTATAAACTTTATGGATTTATTCTGTATGCTGTTACCTTGATGAAGCTAGTAATTCTCTATTAGTTTCTTCAGTGATTCTTTGAGGTTAAGTATACCTAAAAATATAGTTATAATTTTGACTTTTCTTTCCTAATGTTTATGCATTGAATTTTTATCTTTTATATTATCAACATAGCTAGCATTTCTAGAACTATGACAAATAATGGAGGAATGAGATGGGGTTCAGTGGTGGTGGTGGTGGTGGTGTATCCTTATTTTACCTTTATGTGCAACGGGGAAAACTCTAGTATTTTTCCAGTATTCCTAGCATTGCAAACAATGTTAGCTCTTGATTTTAAATGTATTTTTTTGTTCACATTAATCCTGAGCCCTACCATGTCAACGGGGAGGGGGGGAGGAGAGGGGGGGAGGTACATGCTGTATTTTGCATTTAAAAATAGCATTTCCTGCATCTATTGTAATAACCATGTGTTTATTTTGATAATGTTTGTCATTTGTATGATTAACTGTGTCAATTGTGTTTGTAAGTCTCCTTGTTAGGATTTTATTTAATATTTTTGCATCTTTAATCGCATGTGAGATTGGCAAAATCCTTTTCTTCTTTGCCTTTCCTTGGTTTGAGTATCTCTGTAATTATCGCACAAAAAGATTTTGCCAAATAGCTTTCTCTATTTCTCTCTTTTGGAGAACTTCTGTAGTGTAGGTTTTCATTGCTTTTTAAACCTCTGATTGAAATCACTTCTAAGTCCATCTGGCCTGGTGTGTGTGTGTGTGTGTGTGTGTGTGTGTGTGTGTGTGTGTGTGTTTCTTAATTAGGCAATTCATGTGCTGCTAATCCAATTTCTTTTTTAGAGATTGGGTTAAGAACATTTTTTTTTTGTTTGATCAGGCATTTTTAAAAATTTTGAAATATTTATCAGTATCATTTCAGTTCTCAGTTTTCTGGAGGCATATCTGTGCTTATTAGCTTCTGATAATTTTTTTTAAAATGTTCTTTCCTTTATAAATTTATATTATTTTTTATTTTGGTAATTTGATTTTTGTCTTTCTTGTCTAGATCAGGTTAAGTAATAGGTTTATTGACTTTGCTCATCTTTAAGTAAAAACTATTTGGAACTTAGTTATATCAGTTCTATAACTTCTGACTTCAAGTATTTCTGTTTCTCCTCTAATTTTCAAGATTTCTTCTTTCTATATTTTGTTGCAATTTGCTCACTTGTTTATTTTCTAGTCTTAACTGCACGCTTGGTTCATTGATTTTGTAATTTTCCATTTGCTTAATAAAAGTTTTTGCAGATGCATATTTTCCATTAAGGACTGTAATATCTGTGTCCCAGCAGTTTGGGGTATGTTGTTTGCTGTCATTATTCACAACATGGTATTGATTATTTCTATCGTCCTTTGATTCATTTCATTATTCAGGATGTCATTGCCTAGTGTCATTTATGATCATTGTCCTTCCTTTCTTACTAATTTGTGTGATGGTCAATAAAAGATATATTTATTATACTTACTTTTTTACATTTGCTTATGATTCCTTTGGGCTTTAGAACAATCATTTCCTGCACAAAGGTTCTGAGGGATGCTGAGAATATGTGCGTTTTTTAATAGTCTTATTCAAAGTCACCAGAGACAGGTCAAATCTAGTTTGTTTGTTAAGCTCTATATTGTCCTTTTTGGTGGGAGTTATTTAATTATGAGATTGAAATATTAAAATTTACTTTTATTTTTGCCATGAATATCTTTTTTGTAATTGTTTTCTTTAATTTTAAGAATGTAGCCACTATGCCAATAGTATATATTCATCCAATACTGTTTTTTTAAATTTATTATCGTACTTTGAATATCAAATATGGTTTCTCTTGGTCTCTTTGACTTTATTCATTTTTTATTATGATTTTACCTTAGGTCCTGATTGCCACTTGTGGTATTTTCATATCACCTGTACCATAATAGTTTTTGTTTCATTCCTTTTTCACACTTTCCATATGTTTTAAATATTCTTCTTGTATTTTGTTTTTATATTTTGTTTTCTTATCTATTCCTCTATTCTTTTTTCTTCTTATTAGGGAATTTAATTCATTCAAAATCCTAAGGGGAATGACTTAGTTTACTTTATTTTCTTTTTGGTGGAGTACCTGTCCATTGAGACGGCTGCCTTTTGAATGATTGTTCATTTCTTCACAAGCAGCTTTTGTTTACTTTAATCAGTTATTCTGCTGCGTTTTCTATGATATCCTTTCTGAAAATCCCTTTCCTTCTGAAGGCCTGATATAGTCATGCCTTTCACCAGTGATTACTGCCTGTTCTCTTTTCATTCAGGCCATTAGGGTTAGAAGAGGTCATTTTCCTTCAGAGGAAGAGTGTGATCAGTTGGGAAACTGCTGTAGGGAAACTGTAAGTGGAATTTTTAGGCCTATTCTTGATCTTTATCAGTTCCATTCTGTGGTTTCTCCTTTCTGCAACTGACTTTCTTTCGTCTCTAAGCAGACCTCCCTTCTCCCATCCCCCACATCAATGTGATGCCACAAAAGGGCAGGGGGTTCTCTAGGCCAATATTGGTAGCATTTGTTTCTCAAATCTACCCTTCACTTCCTCCTACTGACCGCTTCTTTCTTCCTGAGTTATCTTAAATTGTGATAACGAACATTGCACTTCTGGTCCCATCTCACCTTTACTTTGTTGTCCTCAAGGTTTCACACTCTCTTCCACAGCAACCTCTTTTCTTCTTCTTGAGCTTTGGCTCTGGTATAATTCATTATATTCAATTTGACCTGGTAGTAGAATTCACCCTGGGACCCTGCCAAAGAGTTAATTCCAAAAGTTGAGTGTATAAAATCCACAGTCACAGGGATATGGCATCTTCTACCATCACCCTCCGTCCCTTATCCCAACACAAGAGCTAAGGGAAGAGAAGTATCATAGGGCCAGTATCTACCCCTATGATTGTCAAGGGGTAAGCCCTGAAAGTCATTTTCTAAATGTGCCACAACCACAGAGGGCACAGAGCCATTCTTAGGTTGGGGGGGGGGAAGGAGACAAGCATAGATGGGAGTGCCAAAGGAATTTTAAGAGTTTTTTTTTTTTGCTTTAAGAATTGCCTATTTGCCAAGAGTGGTGGCATACTCCTGAGGCCCTTGGTGCTGAAGAGGCTAAGGCTAGAGGGTTGCTTGAGTCTGGGAGTCTGAGCTGCAGTAGACTAAAGCCAAATGGGTGTCCACACTAAGTCCAGCACCAATATGATGAGCCCCCAGGAGCTAAGAGTCACCAAAGAGAAGTGTCCTGTCATATGTTGGAAAAAGAAAACAAGAACAAGCTTCTGTGCCCTATCGTTATTGGCACTGGGCCCAAGAGTGACCATTGCACTTCAAGACTAGACAACAAAGGGAGATTTTGTCTCTATCTCCCTCCTTCTACTCCAAAAAAAAAAAATTACCTTGTGTCTAGTCCTTTCATTTTCCCTCTTCCTGTCATTTTTTTTTAATTTTGTAGCTCCAACTTTTTGTGTGTTTGTTTGTTTTGGTACAGTCAGGTGAGAGATGGTTCTAGGGCAGTTTTGACTATACTCTCTTATCAGAACTCAAATCATCCTTAGATGATCCATTAGATCATGAGAAAATAGATTGAGAGCTGGGGTGGGGGGGGGGGACTTTGATACCATCGAGTCCAATCTTCTCATTTTACAGTTCAGGAAAATGAGACCCAAAGATCTGAAGTAATTTGCCTAAGGTCACACATGTAATAAATGTCACAGGTGACACTTGTATCCAGATCATTTGATTCCAAATCCAGTATTTTTTGTGCATACCATAATTCTGCTGAAAATTTAGCATTAATACTGATAACTGTCAGTGAAAGGAGTTGGATATCAGACATACGTAGACATAATCTTAGTGTCTGCTCACCTCTACCTCCTGGCTTCCCTGGCTTCCTTTGAGTCTCAGCTGAAATCCCACCCTCAACAAGAAGCCTTTCCCAATCCCCCTTAATTCCAATGCTTTTCTCTCTATTGACTATCTGCAATTGATCCTCTATATATTTTACTTCTACATAGCTGTTTGTATGTTGTTACTCCTATTGGACTTCGAGCTCCTTGAAAATGGGGACTTAGTTTGTTTGCCTTTCTTTGTGTCCCCAGCCTCTGGTACATAGTAGGCACTTAATAAGTGCTTACTGACTGACTGACCCACCTCTGCCAGCAGGCAGTGAAAACAAAGCCTAACTGATTGTTCTCACATTGTGAATTCATCTCCTGGAATGTTAAAATCTAAAGAAAAAATAGCATCTAGTCCAATTCCTTCATTGCACAGATAAGGAGAGTGAGAGCTGCAGTGGCTAAGCGACTTACTTGTAGTGATGCAGCACATAAATGACACAGCCAATATGATAATCCAGGTTCCCTGATTCCCAGCCCCATGCTTTTTATGGTGTACCACCCTGCCTCTACTTGTTAGCTACCTGCCAAATTCGTTTCACTCGTCCCGTTGGAGAAATTGGATCAACCTATTAACAGCCAAGGCTGTAGATTTATCCCTAGGATACCATTTATTTTCAAATGACAGGGAAAAGGATTATTTTTTTCAAAAGCTGGGGAAAGAGATATGTATTCTGTGATCTGCTTTTGAGAAGACAGAACAGGCTTTCATACAACATTTAGAACAATGGCTTTGCATTTTTTTAAAAATACAAACCACACATCTGGCCAATGTGAATATAGCAAAGCTCTTAAATGAGCAGCCTCCTACTATATGCTTCCAACTTCGATTCTAGGCAGGCTAAATGAAACCTTCCCCACATACATCTGGACATGCTCAAGACTTGTCATATTGAAATTACAGAACTTATGATGGCATAAGCCCTTCTGTCATTGATTTTTGACATCATTTCAGTGTTCCACTTTCAACATGGGGCAGTTGGACAGCTCTTGGAGGGATCATGAAGATTTAAAAAGCCTTGACATAGCTCAGCATACATGAAAAGGAAATGTTTTATTGTTTGGTGGTGGTTCTCCTTGCCAAAAGTTTCCAGACTCTTAAAGACACTGACTATCAAGAGGTATTGTGTGAGATGAGGGGAGGGGTATTTCTGGACATTGGATGCTTAAATGATGCTGGATGCGAACATGAAGCACCACATCATCTCTAAAAATTGTTTAAAAGCATCATTTTCTCCCCTTGATGTCCTAGCTATGATGACCTAAGATATATGCCCCAAAACAAATATAAGAAGAGATTTTCTTCAGTTGTACTATATGATATCTAAAAATACCATGAAGAATTCCATAATGAAGAGTTGTCAAAAGTATTTCACCTTAAAAGTATGGTTCAACTTCACTGACCTTCTGTTTGTCTGTAAATTTGAAGGAAAGAAGCAGGAAGGGAATAGTGGCACAGCAAACATAAGGAGAGAGAGAAAGCATTATTGTTCAGCTAGGTGACACAATGGATAGAGGCTGGGCCTGGAGTCAGGAGGACCTGAGTTCAAATAAGGTCTCAGACAATTACTAGCTATATGACTCTGTATACGTCACTTAACTTCTGTTTGCCTCAGTTTCCTCCCTTGCAAAATGGGGATAATAATACTTGCAAGCACTGTTTTAAGTATTAAATGAAATAATAATTTTAAAGCACTTAACACAGTGCCTGGCACCTAGTAAATGATAAATAAATGTTAATTGTTGCTGTTTCTTCAGGATGACAGCAGTAGTAGTCTCTGGGAAATTGATAGAATTCCAATCTGGAATGAGAGGGAATTATAAATGAAACCACTCCTAAAAGGGATGGAATGAAATAACAAATAGTAGTTATGTAACTTTTTCAAGGGAAAAAGCAGATTCTTCACTGTTCTTATCTCTAAGAATGAGATATAGCACCATCTGCTCCCCAAACCACTCATTTTCCTTCTCTACTCTGGAAATCTTCTCCATCTCTTCCCTATATTCCTCTGTGTTTTCAGATTGGCAATCTTCCTGTGAGTCACATCCTTCCTTTAAATGTTTCCATATTTTCCTCCCTTTCCCTTCAGCTTATGTGTGACTCTTTGTTAGGCTTTTCAAAATATTACATGTACAGTAAAACTTTACTTGTATCTAGGATCTTTTATTCACGGAACTGAGAGTGCTCAAACAATCCTATTTGAACTGGTACATTTAGAAATGTTTATTTAGTTTTTACAGGTGTTAGGTGGGGTAGGGAATATTAGCAACTGTTGCTCTCTTCTTGTAAATTGTTTTTATTCAGACTGCTATTTGAAGAACCTTTCCCTTTAAACTATGGCCAAAGAACTTTAAGTCACTAGGTGGATAAAGAGAATGTTCTGGAAGGGCATGAATTGCACTATCTTCAAGAGCACTTCAAGTGGTTCTATTATTGGTTGGTCCTTTGGTGTTGTATGCAAGTACTTTCTCTGCATAATACATGAAATATGACTACATCTTCCATAGACTGGATGTCTTGAACAAAAGTTACTCAAATCCAGAAGGAAGCTTAAAGTTCGAGACCAAAATCAATGACACAGTTGTATCAGGGAAGAAATGGCTAGATACATTATGGCCAAAAGAAAGGACATGGGTTTCCTGCCAGGCACCTAGATGAAGCTAAAGGAACAAATGAATGGTATAGATTAAACACAGCATGATACTGAGTCACTGGAATATGAGAACAGAATTCCAGTATATCTGATATTGATATGATCCCTTAGCATATAAATATAACATTAATTTGTTCATGTTCTTAATTCTCCAAAGTTCCTTGAATTCATTGATATGGCTATAGCCTCTGATACAGGTTAGAACCTCCATATGCCTTAGAAAATAGTCTTCCAACTTCACAATTATGTGCATATGCTTTCTTGAACTATATAGATAGCATTGGGAACTATGAGTTAAAGGGTATGGACATAATTCCAATTGCTTAGGTTATTTTTTTCTTTTGTATGTATTCTTTGTTATGAGTGGTGGCTTTCTGGGTTGGGGAGGGAATATATTGGGAAATTTAAGAAGCAGATAAAAACAAAAGCTATCGCTACATTTTTCTAAATATATAATATATATATATATATATATATAGTTGTCCTAAGTTGCTACAACTGTGCTTTTATGTATGTATACATAATATTATATAAATATATATATATGTACACACACACAAAGTATATGTGCACTTTTATATGTGTGTGTATACACATACATACATATATACACATGGGAGTATAGATTATATTAGTCTGATTAACTGATATGTATGCATATTCATAATAATATCTATATTGATAGCTATATCTATTTATGTATCATTCAGCTAGCATATCTAGCTTCTTGTTATCTCTTTCACCCTTTATCTTTCTCTTTCCCTTTTTCTTTCAGCCAACCATCTGGTAATGAATATGCCTAAACCTGGCTAGGCTATCATCATTGGGGCAATATGCCGATTCTTTCCAACTTAATGTTACTCTCCTAGAGCTTTGTTCTGCTTGTAAAAGCCTTTGAAAACTCAGGATGACCTCCATATGACAATGAGATATAGGATTTCAGGGAAGTATCATGTTCTTAGGGTACTCATTAGTAATTTACATTTGCACACTAAAAATTGTAAAAGAAACTGAAAATGTCTAGAAAATACCAATAGCATTGAATAAGGTATTTTTGTTGCTATTTTTTTTTCCCCTTTAGGGGAAGCAACTCCCTTAAGTGAGCCCAGGAGGGACTTGATGAATCTGAAAAAGGTCATTTGCATAGTCAAAGGAAGGTATCATGTGCTATCTTTCTCTCTATAAGTAGGTCCTATATCTCCATTAGTTTAC